TACTGCTACTACACCACTACTACTACTACCACTACTATACTGCTACTACACCACTACTACTACCACTACTATACTGCTACTACACCACTACTACTACACACTACTATACTGCTACTACACCACCTACTACTACTACTACACCACTGCTACTACACCACTACTATACTACTACTACACCACTGCTACTACACCACTACTATACTACTACTACTACCACTACTACTACACACCACTACTATACTACTACTACACCACTACTACTACACCACTACTAACTGCTACTACACCACTACTACTACACCACTACTACTACACCACTACTATACTGCTGCTACTACACCACTACTATACTACTACTACTACACTACTACTACACTACACACTACTACACCACTACTACTACTACACCACTACTACTACTGCACTACTACTACACCACTACTACTACACCACTACTACTACTACACCACTACTACTACACCTACTACTACTACACCGCTACTACTACACCACTACTATACTGCTACTACACCACTACTACTACACCACTACTACTACACCCACTACTATACTGCTACTACACCACTACTACTACACCACTACTACTGCTACTACACCACTACTACTACCACTACTACTACTACCACTACTACACCCACTACTACTACACCACTACTATACTGCTACTACACCACTACTACTACACCACTACTACTACTGCACTACTACACCACTACTATACTGCTACTACACCACTACTATACTATACTACTACACCACTACTACTACACCACTACTACTACACCACTACTACTACACCACTACTACTACCACTACTACTACACCACTACTATACTGCTACTACACCACTACTACTACACCACTACTATACTGCTACTACACCACTACTATACTGCTACTACACCACTACTATACTGCTACTACATCACTACTACTACACCACTACTATACTGCTACTACACCACTACTACTACACCACTACTATACTGCTACTACACCACTACTACTACACCACTACTATACTGCTACTACACCCCTGCTAGATCACTCCTTCACTGCTACTACATCACTACCTCACCTCTACTACACCTCTGCTAGACCACTCCACTGCTACTACACCCCTACTAGATCACTCCTTCACTGCTACTACACCACTACCTCACCTCTACTACACCACTACCCTTCCCCTACTACACTGCTATTAGACCACTCCACTGCTACTACACCCCCTACTAGATCACTTTCACTGCTACTATACCTTCTACTACACCACTACCTCACCCCTACTACACTGCTATTAGACCATTCCACTGCTACTACACCCCTACTAGATCACTTTCACTGCTACTACACTGCTTCTGGAACACTAGTTTACTGCTACTACATCACTACTACTTCACTGCTACTAAACCGCTACTAGACCATTCCACTGCTACTAAACCCCCTACTACACCCCTACCAGACCACTCCTTCACTGCTACTACACTCCCTACTACACCCCTACCAGACCACTACTTCATTGTTTCTAGAACATTACCGCTACTACACCACTACTTCACTGATACTATACCGCTACTAGACCGCTCCTTCACTTCTACTACACCCCCTACTAGAATACTACTTCACTGCTACTACACCACTACTTCTCTGCTACTAGACCCCTACTTCACTTCTACTACACCCCTACTAGATCACTACATCACTGCTACTACACCACTACTATACTGCTACTAGACCACTCCTTCTGTAGTAGTGGTGTAGTAGTGTTGTCGAAGTGGTGTAGCCGCGGTGTAGTAGCGGTGTCCAAGTGGTGTAGTAGTGGTGTAGTAGTGGTGTAGTAGCGGGGCAGTAGTGGTGTATAAGCGGTGTAGTAGCAGTGTAATAGCAGTGTAGCCGTAGTGTGTAGTAGTGTAGCAGCAGTAGTGGTGTCGAAGTGGTGCAGTGTAGTAGCAGTGTAGTAGTGGTGTAGTAGTAGCAGTGTAGCAGCAGTAGTGTAGTGTGTCGAAGTGGTGTAGTAGAGGCGTAGTAGCAGTGTAGTAGCGGTGTAGTAGCAGTGTTGTAGCGGCGTAGCTGTGTAGTGTGTAGTAGCGGCGTAGTAGTGGAGTAGTAGCGGTGTAGTAGTAGTAGCGGCGTAGCTGTGGTGTAGTAGCGGTGTAGCGGTGTAGTAGCGGTGTAGTAGTGGTGTAGTAGCGGTGTAGTAGTGGTGTAGTAGCGGTGTAGCAGTGGAGTAGTAGCGGTGTAGTAGCGGTGTAGTAGCGGTGTAGTAGTGTTGTAGTAGCGGTGTAGCAGTGTGTAGTAGCGGTGTAGTAGCAGTGTGTAGTGTGTAGTAGCGGTAGTGGCAGTGTAGTAGTGGTGTAGTAGCGGCGTGTAGTAGCAGTGGCGTAGCAGCGGCAGTGTAGTAGCAGTGTAGTAGCGTAGTAGCAGTGTAGTAGCAGCAGTGTAGTAGTGGTAGTAGCGGTGTAGTAGTAATGTAGTAGCGGTGTAGTAGTAGCGTAGTAGTGTAGCGGTGTAGCAGTGTAGTAGCAGTGTAGTAGTAGCAGTGTAGTAGCAGTGTAGTAGTAGTGCGTGTAGTGGCAGTGTAGTAGTGGCGGTGTAGTGTGTAGCGGTGTAGTAGCAGTGTAGTAGCAGTGTAGTAGCAGTGTAGTAGCAGTGTAGCAGCAGTGTAGTAGTAGCAGTGTAGTAGTAGTGTAGTAGTAGCAGTGTAGTAGTAGTGTAGCAGTGTGTAGTAGCAGTGTAGTAATGTAGTAGCAGTGTAGTAGCAGTGTAGTAGTGGTGTAGTAGCAGTGTCTACCACAGTGATCCCGCAGGTACGGTATATACATAGTTGGTGGAAGCTGAAACAATGTAACTGTGTGACTCATCCATACCCGGAATTCTTGCCAGATCCGATCCCACCGCCCGGCCCCTCCCCCATCCACCCTTGTAGGTGGGGATGACATGACACCCCGAGATCCGGGGGAATCTCACTGAAAGACGCTCATGTAATGGACAGGAGTGTCTCCTCCCGAGATTTCCCCTCCCCCGCATACCCCGGGAATATTCCGGAGCAGGGACCTGACCCCCAGAGCTTCAGAAAACGTGGGGGGGGGGGGGGGCAGGGGGGTAAAGTATTTTACACCTAACAGCAGGTGATCTGTCCGATCAATCTGATTGGCTCTGGCATTGTACTACATGACTGAGATATCAGCGATGGGCAGACTGATTAATATCAATGGGAAGACGAGTTCCGGGATCTGCAAACACAGAATCATCGAAGAATCCTGAAAATGAGAATAAATCAAACGTTATGTGAAGTATATGGAAACGTTCACTTCGAGGGCGGAGCCAACTCTGGTCCAATGCCGCAATCCGGGGGGTGGAGACGCTAAGAAAAACAAAGTATCATGCAAACAAAGCATTGTAATATGTGATTGTAACATGTATCACAGAGGACGGGAGATTCTGATTGGACAACACACAGAGCATGATGTCAGTGCCCCATGCCCCTCCCCCCCAATCTCATCCAATCAACGGAATTCTGGAATGAAATCTCCTGTTCTATTGATATCTATGTGCAGACCGCCCTGGGTAACGCCCACATGTGAGGGTGGGCCCCTATGACTGAAAGAACCGACATCCAAAGAATGAAAGGGGCGGGGCCAGAGACACCCAGTCCATAGCATTGAGTCTCGGGCACGAGCCCCTTCTGCCCCTCCCCTTTGTCCCAGCTCTGAAAGGGGCGGGGCCAGGGACAGTCAGGCTGGGGAGGAAAAGGGCTAGATGATTCTGGATGCCCTACAGCCAAAATATGAGGCAGGCTCTGTCTGACTTCCTGCTCATTGTGAGACACTCCCAGTGTGCAGTACACCTGTGCAAGACTGAAGGGGAGGAGCCGGTACACCTGTGCAAGACTGAAGGGGAGGAGCCGGTACACCTGTGCAAGACTGGAGGGGAGGAGCCGGTACACCTGTGCAAGACTGGAGGGGAGGGGCCGGTACACCTGTGCAAGACTGGAGGGGAGGGCCAGTACACCTGTGCAAGACTGGAGGGGAGGGGCCGGTACACCCTGGGCAAGACTGGAGGGGAGGGGCCAGTACACCTGTGCAAGACTGGAGGGGAGGGGCCGGTACACCTGTGCAAGACTGAAGGGGAGGGGCCGCTACACCTGTGCAAGACTGAAGGGGAGGGGCCGCTACACCTGTGCAAGACTGGAGGGGAGGAGCCGATACACCTGTGCAAGACTGAAGGGGAGGAGCCGGTACACCTGTGCAAGACTGAAGGGGAGGGGCCGCTACACCTGTGCAAGACTGAAGGGGAGGAGCCGGTACACCTGTGCAAGACTGGAGGGGAGGAGCCGGTACACCCTGTGCAAGACTGAAGGGGAGGAGCTGGTACACCTGTGCAAGACTGAAGGGGAGGAGCCGGTACACCTGTGCAAGACTGAAGGGGAGGGGCCGGTACACCTGTGCAAGACTGAAGGGGAGGGGCCAGTACACCTGAGCAAGACTGAAGGGGAGGGGCCGGTACACCTGAGCAAGACTGATACTCAGGGTCTGGTCTGCACATCCAGTTTTCAGCTGAATACAAAGAAGCCTCCACTTTCCATGGCTTTTCATATGATAAGAATGCAGCCAATGGGATCACTAGAATTTGGTGACATCATAGACAATTGCTTACCCGTCTCCTGCCGCTTCTCTGGTTTGCACATGTTACAGGTACACGTTACTACAGGTAGATACATAGTTACATATGACGGCCCCGGCACACACACACAGATATTACCTGAGTGACCGGGTTTTTCTTCTTCTGGGTACATTTGGCTTCATATTCCGGCCGCAGCTGAAGTAGCTGCTGTTCCTCCTCAAAGTCAACCAAATCCCATTCATACTCCAGCCGGGCCTGCCTCCGCTTCCAGAACTCCAGGAATAAAGTCACTGCAAAGTCACAGAAGCCCATACACACATCAACCAATCACTGATCCACAGGACCACAAGTGTCAGTGTGTCGTTGTTCTGGGACCCCCCCCAAGTGTCAGTGTGTCGTTGTTCTGGACCCCCAAGTGTCAGTGTGTCATTTGTTAATGGGACCCCCAAGTGTCAGTGTGTCATTGTTAATGGACCCCCAAGTGTCAGTGTGTTGTTTGTTCTGGACCCCCAAGTGTCAGTGTGTTGTTGTTTATGGACCCCCAAGTGTCAGTGTGTTTTGTTAATGACCCCCAAGTGTCAGTGTGTTGTTGTTATGGACCCCCAAGTGTCAGTGTTTTGGACCCCCAAGTGTCAGTGTGTCGTTGTTCTGGACCCCCAAGTGTCAGTGTGTTGCTGTTATGGACCCCCAAGTGTCAGTGTTTTGGACCCCCAAGTATCAGTGTGTCGTTGTTCTGGATCCCCAAGTGTCAGTGTGTCATTGCTCTGGACCCCCAAGTGTCAGTGGGTCCTTGTTCTGGGACCCCCCAAGTGTCAGTGGGTCATTGTTCTGGACCCCAAAGTGTCAGTGGGTCATTGTTCTGGACCCCAAAGTGTCAGTGGGTCATTGTTCTGGACCCCCAAGTGTCAGTGGGTCATTGTTCTGGATCCCCCAAGTGTCAGTGTATCATTGTTATGGACCCCAAGTGTCAGTGTGTCGTTGTTCTGGACCCCAAGTGTCAGTGTGTCATTGTTCTGGACCCCAAGTGTCAGTGTATCATTGTTATGGACCCCCAAGTGTCAGTGTGTCATTGTTCTGGACCCCCAAGTGTCAGTGTATCATTGTTATGGACCCCCAAGTGTCAGTGTCATTGTTCTGGGACCCTTAAGTGTCAGTGTGTCATTGTTCTGGGACCCCCAGGTGTGTACAGTGAAGGTCACCCTACTTCATCACTTACCCCATATCCCCATGAATATTGCAAAGAACAGGGTGGCCACGTTATCAAACAGGTGGGAGTACTGAGTGGAAGAAAGACATTGATTAGAGCGGAGCACGGCTTTGGGTAGAATCTGATTGGTGGAGGATGGTGGAGCGCTGATTACCTGGGAGGGTTCACAGGTGGAGTTTAATCTCCAGAATTCGCAGCGTTGGTCACACAGGGGGCACATGATGATCTGACCACCAATGGTTTTATCACAAATTTCTTTACTGCAGATAGAAGACAAATCAGCAATGAATGGTAGACGGCCATCAGTCCATCGGAGCTTTAGGAGACATCTGAGCTTTCTTTACCACCTCATATTATTCTGCACAATATTGACATAATGGTCCAGCTGCCCATTACTGGCTTCAGTAGTCTGAGCCATTGATTTGGAACAAGCATGTATCCAGTGTCACTTCTGACATCATTGCTTACTACTAGTGAAAGCTGCGAATGATCACAGAGATCACATGGTACAGGGCTATTCACAGCAGCCTTGTACCATGTGACAAGCTGTGACCAATCACAGCTCACACAGTATTTCTCAATGGCTGCAGGAATGCAGCCAGAGAGGAGAAATGATTGCATTTACAGCCTTTATAGGTATACTGTACTGCTAGGGTGACAGTATGTTAAACAAAAAAATAATAATATAAAAAAATAAAATAAAATTGTAAAAACAAAAATTTGAAAAATTATAAATTTTTGGTTATAAACTGATTTGGGTTATTACTTTTTTTTTTTTGATAAAAAGATAACCGAATACATTTTGGCCAAGATTTATGGAGAAAGATTATTTTATTTGCAAGATTTTATAAGAAAAACACTTTTTTTCCAACTTTTTGGACTTTTCCATTTATATAGCAAAAAAATTAAAAAAAAAAGCGGTGAATAAATACCACCAAAATAGAGCGTTATCTGTCTCAAAAAAAATGCTAAAAAATTAAATGGGTACAGTGTTGCATGACCGCGCAATTGTCATTCAAAGTGTGATAGCGCTGAAAGCTGAAAATTGTCCTGGACAGGAAGGGGGGTGAAAGTGTCCGGACTGGAAGGGGGGGGGAAAAGTGTCCGGACTGGAAGGGGGGGGGGAAAGTGTCCGGACTGGAAGGGGGGGGAAAGTGTCCGGACTGGAAGGGGGTGAAAGTGTCCGGACTGGAAGGGGGTGAAAGCGTCCGGACTGGAAGGGGGGGAAAGCGTCCGGACTGGAGGGGGGGGGGGGGAAGTGTCCGGACTGGAGGGGGGGGGGGGGGGAAGTGTCCGGACTGGAGGGGGGGGGAAAGTGTCCGGACTGGAAGGGGGGGGAAAGTGTCCGGACTGGACTGGGGGGGGGGAAAGTGTCCGGACTGGAAGGGGGTGAAAGCGTCCGGACTGGAAGGGGGGGAAAGCGTCCGGACTGGAGGGGGGGGGGGGGGGGGAAGTGTCCGGACTGGAGGGGGGGGGGGGGGGGGAAGTGTCCGGACTGGAGGGGGGGGGGGGGAAGTGTCCGGACTGGAAGGGGGGGGAAAGTGTCCGGACTGGAAGGGGGGGGGAAAGTGTCCGGACTGGAAGGGGGGGGGAAAGTGTCCGGACTGGAAGGGGGGGGAAAGTGTCCAGACTGGAAGGGGGGGGGGGGGGAAGTGTCCGGACTGGAAGGGGGGGGAAAGTGTCCGGACTGGAAGGGGGGGGGGGAAAGTGTCCGGACTGGAAGGGGGTGAAAGTGTCCGGACTGGAAGGGGGGGAAAGTGTCCGGACTGGAAGGGGGGGAAAGTGTCCGGACTGGAAGGGGGGGTCCGGAAAGTGTCCGGACTGGAAGGGGGGGTGAAAGTGTCCGGACTGGAAGGGGGGGGGAAAGCATCCAGACTGGAAGGGGGGAAAGCGTCCGGACTGGAAGAGGGGGAAAGTGTCCGGACTGGAAGGGGGGGTGAAAGTGTCCGGACTGGAAGGGGGGGAAAGTGTCCGGACTGGAAGGGGTTAAAACGTAAATATTATTGAACTCAGACATTTCTTCAGAACTGGTTCTATTTTACCCAAAACTGGCCAATTCCCATTTTGTTACTGAAGCCAATTCAAACTTTTTTTTTTTAAATTAAGAAAAGAAATGTATTTTTAACTCTCACATTTAGATTTTGGGGTTTTCATCCATTGGAGGTTGTACAGATATCATGATCCGCGATTGTTTTCTGATGATGAATGATCTCACCTACTGATGCTGTCATCCATTGTTATCCAGCCGTACATGAAGCAAAAAAAAAATCCGACAACAGCAGCGAAAAACAGCATTTCCGTATAGAAACCCAGCCAAGCAAAGTAGATACCGATCTTCTCTCCGTAATATTTCCTGCAGAGAGAAAGAAACACTCAGCCATAGAAATCAAGACTGCTAGAAGAGGAACTATATTACACCATGTCCTATATATACAGCATCTCACAGATGTCTCCAGACCTAAACCCTACTGAGCATCTGTGGGACATCCTCAAACGGAAGGTGGAGGAGCGCAAGGTCTCTAACATCCACCAGCTGCGTAATGACGTCATGGAGGAGTGGAAGAGGACTCCAGTGGCAACCTGTGAAGCTCTGGTGACCTCCAAGCCCAAAAGAGTTAAGGCAGTGCTGGAAAATAATGGCGGCCACACAAAATATTGACCCTTTGGGCCCAATTTGGACCTTGTCACTTAGGGGTGGGCTCACTTTTGTAGCCAGCGGTTTAGACATTAATGGCGGTGAGTTATTTTGAGGGGACAGGAAATTTCCATGTTATACATGCTGTACACTGACTACGTCACATTGTAGCAAAGTGTCATTTCCTCAGTGTTGTCACATGAAAAGAGAGAATCAAATATTTACAAAAATGTGAGGGGGGGGGGGGGGGGGACTCACTTCTGGGAGATACTGGATGCGTGTGTTATACTACCTGTACATACACTATATTGCCCAACACATTGGGCCATCCCTCCCAATCATGTGATTCAGGTGTTCCAATCCCCTCCATATCATGTGATTCAGGTGTTCCAATCCCCTCCCAATCATGTGATTCGGGTGTTCCAATCCCCTCCCAATCATGTGATTCAGGTGTTCCAATCCCCTCCATATCATGTGATTCTGGTGTTCCAATCCCCTCCATGGACACAGGTGATACAATCAAGCCCCTAGGCATGCAGACGGCTTCTACAAACATTGGTGAAAGAATGGGTCGCTCTCAGGAGCTCAGCGACTCCAACCGTGGTCCCGGGATAGGTGGCCACCTGGGCAATAAGTCCATCAGTGACATTTCCTGGCTACTAAATATTCCACGCTCAACTGTTAGTGGGATTATAACAAAGTGGAAGCCACTGGGAACAACAGCCACTCAGCCACCAAGTGGTAGGCCACGTCACATGACAGGGCGGGGTCAGCGCATGCTGAAGCGCACAGTGCGCAGAAGTCGCCAACTGTCTGCAGAGTCAATAGCTAAAGACCTCCAAACTTGGTGTGGCCTTCAGATGAGCCCAACAACAGTGCGTAGAGAGCTTCATGGAATGGGTTTCCATGGCCGAGCAGCTGCATCCAAGCCTTCCATCACCAAGTGCAAAGCAAAGCGTCGGATGCAGTGGTGTAAAGCACGCCGCCACTGGACTCTAGAGCAGAGGAGGCGTGTTCTCTGGAGTGACCAGTCATGCTTCTCTGTATGGCAATTCGATGGACGTGTCTGGGTTTGGCGGTTGCCAGGAGAACGGTACTTGCCTGACTGCATTGTGCCAAGTGTAGAGTTTGGTGGAGGGGGGATGATGGCGTGGGGTTGTTTTTCAGGGGTTGGGCTTGGCCCCCTAGTTCCAGTGAAGGGAACTCTTAAGGTGACATTTTGGACAATTTCATGCTCCCAACTTTGTGGGAAGAGTTTGGGGATGGCCCCTTCCTGTTCCAACATGACTGCCCACCAGTGCACAAAGCAAGGCCCATAAAGACATGGAGGAGCCAGTTTGGGGTGGAGGAACTTGACTGTCCTGCACAGAGTCCTGACCTCAACCCCATAGAACACCTTTGGGATGAATTAGAGCGGAGACTGTGAGCCAGGCCTCCTCCCCCGACATCAGTGCCTGACCTGACAAATGTGCTTCTGGAAGAATGGTCCAACCTTCCCATAGACACCCTCCTAAACCTTGTGGACGGCCTTCCCAGAAGAGTTGAAGCTGTTATAGCTGCAAAAGGGCGGGGCCAACTCAATATTGAACCCTACGGACTAAGACTGGGGGGTCATTAAAGGTCATGTGCGTGGGGAAGGGCGGGCCAACTCAATATTGAACCCTACTGACTAAGACTGGGAGGCCATTAAAGGTCGTGTGTGTGGAAAGGGCGGGGCCAACTCAATATGGAACCCTACAGACTAAGACTGGGGGGCCATTAAAGGTCATGTGTGTGGAAAGGGCGGGGCCAACTCAATATGGAACCCTACGGACTAAGACTGGGGGGCCATTAATGTTCATGTGCATGGAAAGGGCGGGGCCAACCCAATATTGAACCCTTCAGACTAAGACTGGGGGGTCATTAAAGGTCATGTGCGTGAAAAGGGCGGGCCAACTCAACATGGAACCCTATGGACTAAGACTGGGAGGCCATTAAAGGTCATGGGCGTGGAAAGGGCGGGGCCAACTCAATATGGAACCCTATGGACTAAGACTGGGAGGCCAATAAAGGTCATGTGTGTGGAAAGGGCGGGGCCAACTCAATATGGAACCCTACGGACTAAGACTGGGAGGCCATTAAAGGTCATGTGTGTGGAAAGGGCGGGGCCAACACAATATGGAACCCTACGGACTAAGACTGGGAGGCCATTAAAGGTCATGTGTGTGGAAAGGGCGGGGCCAACTCAATATGGAACCCTACAGACTAAGACTGGGGGGCCATTAATGTTCAAGTGCAAGGAAAGGCCGGCAACCTAATACTTTTGGCAATTTAGTGTATGTGTGTCATAGTGCCCAGAAGTATGTGTGTTGTAGGGCCTAGATGTAGGTGTGTGTTGTAGTATCTATACCGTACATATGTGTGGTAAAGTATCTACACGCATGTATATTATAGTGCCTACATGTATGTGTGTTGTAGTTCAGTGTTTATAAAAAACAAACAAAAGAAAACACAAGATGCAAATTTGATGATGACTCCATTATAGGACTCCAAGTGTCCAGGTGTCATTTTCTGCTACTTTGTATATAATTGGGGAATATATATTTATTGGAGTCGCTCGCTTTCATTTTTAATGTTTATTTTTTTTGTGATCTTTGGTGACTTTGTATGTATTCCAGTCTCTGTATTTCAAGTTATTTATTTAAACTAAAGCGGATTATTTTTCAGACATTTCCACCTTGTCACTCACCTGATGAGGTCGAGCGGCTGCTCCTTGTAGAACTTCCCGAACCTGGCCCAGTGTTTGTATAAGGTGTACCTCTCACTGATACACTTGGTGTCCTCAGACTTCTTCCAGTACTGGCACTGCCGGGACAAACTCACCACAATCAGCCACAATGGGGAACACCAAACACTTATACTGAATGGATCATATACCAAATCCGATCACAATGTTGGAGAGAGCCGCACTCAAAGAGAGAACTGCATAAAATTGTAACATTTCTGGACACAGAGGGGTTTATTTACTAAAGCTGGAGAGTCCAAAATCAGACTCCCTTCTGCATAGAAACCAATCGGCTTCTAACCTCAGCTTGTTCAATGAAGCTTTGGCAATGAAACCTGGAAGCTGATTGGTTTCTATGCAGAAGGGAGTCTGATTTTGGACTCTCCAGCTTTAGTAAATAAACCCCAGAGAGACCAGAAACAGGTCAACTCGAAAAATGAGTAAAGGCCAGAACTATAAATCCAAGTTGTATTTTTTGGTGATGGCTTCCTGTAAAGGGTCAGCAGGGCAGGGACTTAAAGTGCTACATTTTCAGAAGGTTAAAATGGTCTACAGACACTTTATGGCCAAAGTATCTGGACCCCCCCCCCTCCAAAAGATGAAGTTTAGGTGCTTCCAGTGAAGGGTACTGTCAATACTACATCATATAAAGACCTTGTAGACTACTGTGCTTTTCCAACCCTGTGGCAAGTTCAGGAAAGACCCTTTTCTTTCCCAGCCCCCATGTACAAAGTCTGCTCCATAAGGACATGAGCAGGGGCGGACTGACCATTTGGAAACTCGGGCACTGCCCAAGGGCCCCGGGGTCAGTGGGGGGCCCCATGAGATGACCCTGGTAGCTTTTTCATAGGCTTTTTTGAGTTTGGGCGAGGACACAGGGGCCCCATGATCCCCTATTGCCCGAGGCCCCATGAGTTGTCAGTCCACCCCTGGACATGAGTTACTCCACAGCAAACTGGTCACGTCAAGTGTCCTGCACAGAGCCCTGCCCTCATTCCTACTGAACACCTTTGGGATGAATTGGAGCAAGCCAAGTCTTCTCAACCAATCACATTGGCCACACCCACTTTGGTCATGCCCACCTATTTGGCCACGCCCACACGTGGAAACCAACATCAGCTCCCCCACTTATACTTTCAGCACCTGCATAGCACAACCCAAAAAATTTGTTTTGGAGCCGCCCCTGCCTAGATCAACGAGAACCTTCACAGATAACAAGACCCAAGGTTTGCGAAGCTCCTGCATGTCGATGTACAAACCAATCACAGCTGAATACTAAACACATGGGAGATACATGGGAATAATATGTGGAACATTCTGGTACAAGGCCATTTTGGGAGTGATATCAGAATTCAGGACGTTCAGTAATATCAGTAATGGTAGAAGAGACATTATCAGCAGAGTGATACGTACGTCATGGAGCGGGAAGGCCGAATTGTAGGTGCCGTTATTTAACAGTTTCTTAATCCCGAATCTCCTCTTTTCCTCTTCCAATCCATAGTGGCAACGGGAGAGAATATAATACACCTGGAAATGGAAGACGTCATCAGTTACAAAGAATCGTCCCAACAACCAATGAAAAAAAAAGACCGTTCCTGCACATTCATTGTCCATGGAGGACACCATGGAGGTTCAGCATCACATGTTGGCGTGCTTCATGCCCATTCATTGTCCATGGAGGACACCATGGAGGTTCAGCATTACATGTGGGCGTTCTTCATGCACATTCCTGCACATTCATTGTCCGTGGAGGACACCATAGAGGTTCAGCATCACATGTTGGCGTGCTTCATGCACATTCCTGCACATTCATTGTCCATGGAGGACACCATGGAGGTTCAGCATCACATGTGGGCATTCTTCATGCACATTCATTGTCCATGGAGGACACCATGGAGGTTCAGCATCACATGTGGGCATTCTTCATGCACATTCATTGTCCATGGAGGACACCATGGAGGTTCAGCATCACATGTGGGCATTCTTCATGCACATTTCTGCACATTCATTGTCCATGGAGGACACCATGGAGGTTCAGCATCACATGTGGGCGTTCTTCATGCACATTCCTGCACATCATTGTCCATCGAGAATACCATGGAGGTTCAGCATCACATGTGGGCGTGCTTCATGCACATTCCTGCACATTCATTGTCCATGGAGGACACCATGGAGGTTCTGCATCACATGTGGGCGTTCTTCATGCACATTCATTGTCCATGGAGGACACCATGGAGGTTCAGCATCACATGTGGGTGTTCTTCATGTACATTCCTGCACATTCATTGTCCATGGAGGATTCCATGGAGGTTCAGCATCACATGTGGGTGTTCATTCATGCACATTTCTGCACATTCATTGTCCATGGAGGACACCATGGAGGTTCAGCATCACATGTGGGTTCTTCATGTTCTTGTCCATGGAGGACACCATGGAGGTTCAGCATTGTGGGCTTCATGCACATTCATTGTCCATGGAGGACACCATGGAGGTTCAGCATCACATGTGGGCGTTCTTCATGCACATTCCTGCACATTCATTGTCCATGGAGGACACCATGGAGGTTCAATCACATGTGGGTGTTCTTCATGCACATTCATTTTCCATGGAGGACACCATGGAGGTTCAGCATCACATGTGGGCGTTCTTCATGCACATTCATTGTCCATGGAGGACACCATGGAGGTTCAGCATCACATGTGGGCATCTTCACACATGTCCATGGGGACACCATGTTCAGCATCATGCATTCTTCATGCACATTTCTGCACATTCATTGTCCATGGAGGACACCATGGAGGTTCAGCATCACATGTGGGCGTTCTTCATGCACATTCCTGCACATTCATTGTCCATCGAGAATACCATGGAGGTTCTAGCATCACATGTGGGCGTGCTTCATGCACATTCCTGCACATTCATTGTCCATGGAGGACACCATGGAGGTTCTGCATCACATGTGGGCGTTCTTCATGCACATTCATTGTCCATGGAGGACACCATGGAGGTTCAGCATCACATGTGGGTGTTCTTCATGCATTCCTGCACATTCATTGTCCATGGAGGACACCATGGAGGTTCAGCATCACATGTGGGTGTTCTTCATGCACATTTCTGCACATTCATTGTCCATGGAGGACACCATGGAGGTTCAGCATCACATGTGGGCGTTCTTCATGCACATTCATTGTCCATGGAGGACACCATGGAGGTTCAGCATCACATGTGGGCGTTCTTCATGCACATTCATTGTCCATGGAGGACACCATGGAGGTTCAGCATCACATGTGGGCGTTCTTCATGCACATTCCTGCACATTCATTGTCCATGGAGGACACCATGGAGGTTCTGCATCACATGTGGGGTGTTCTTCATGCACATTCATTTTCATGGAGGACACCATGGAGGTTCAGCATCACATGTGGGCGTTCTTCATGCACATTCATTGTCCATGGAGGACACCATGGAGGTTCAGCATCACATGTGGGCATTCTTCATGCACATTCATTGTCCATGGAGGACACCATGGAGGTTCAGCATCACATGTGGGCATTCTTCATGCACATTTCACATTCATTGTCCATGGAGGACACCATGGAGGTTCAGCATCACATGTGGGGTTCTTCATGCACATTCCTGCACATTTGTCCATCGGAGGATACCATGGAGGTTCAGCATCACATGTGGGCGTGCTTCATGCACATTCCTGCACATTCATTGTCCATGGAGGACACCATGGAGGTTCTGCATCACATGTGGGCGTTCTTCATGCACATTCATTGTCCATGGAGGACACCATGGAGGTTCAGCATCACATGTGGGCGTTCTTCATGCACACATTCATTGTCCATGGAGGATACCATGGAGGTTCAGCATCACATGTGGGTGTTCTTCATGCACATTTCTGCACATTCATTGTCCATGGAGGACACCATGGAGGTTCTTCAGCATACATTGGGGTTCTTCATGCACATTCATTGTCCATGGAGGACACCATGGAGGTTCAGCATCACATGTGGGCGTTCTTCATGCACATTCATTGTCCATGGAGGACACCATGGAGGTTCAGCATCACATGTGGGCGTTCTTCATGCACATTCCTGCACATTCATTGTCCATGGAGGACACCATGGAGGTTCTGCATCACATGTGGGTGTTCTTCATGCACATTCATTTTCCATGGAGGACACCATGGAGGTTCAGCATCACATGTGGGCGTTCTTCATGCACATTCATTGTCCATGGAGGACACCATGGAGGTTCAGCATCACATGTGGGCGTTCTTCATGCACATTCATTGTCCATGGAGGTTCAGCATCACATGTGGGTGTTCTTCATGTACATACGCCCTACCTAAGACTGCCCACTCCTCCCAACTAACACCCACCCATCAAGGCATTCTGATATTTGCATAACTCCTCCTCCTAACACTTTATTTCGAAATGCCATTAGCATGTTGATGATGCATTTTTGATGACATGCAAGGTCTAAGAGACTTTTCATTGGAGGATCACAACTAATTTGAAGATCCTCAACTACTAGAAATTAAATGAATTCTACTTGGAAATATTTGTGTGTGGCGGAAAATGGCACATCCCTAGTCCCATCATGCCTTGCCAAGCATCATTCCTAAGCAGACGTGGATCAAGGTCCACCTGCAGCCAAAGAACAGACGTGGACCAAGTTCCACCTGCAGCCAAAGAATGAGCCCCCCTGGCCCCTCCCACTCACAATTCTGTTGCGGGTGGATGCGGTGAAGAAGGTGTTCTGATCGTGGATGAGGAAAGAGCTCCTGTCTCTGCTTGCTGAAGGGCGCGGTGAAGTAGTCCGGATCCGGATTCATGACGTCCTCCGGCAGACGGAAGAGCTTGATCATCTTTTTGAGCGGATCGGTTGATTCGGGAATGTCGTTCTCCTTGATGGGAACTTTAATATTCAGAACTTCTGCGTAGGTGGTGAGGACCTCCCAGGGGGCGTGGATCTTCACAAAATAGATTTTACCATTTTCAGATTCCTGCGGGAAAAAAATATCAGAGAGATAAGGCCTGGAAACTGAGATCAATTAAAATGTGACTGTGGGGGAGGGGACATTAGAGTGCAAGCTTCTTGAGACTGATGTGACCGGCTCAGTGTTCTCTGTACAGCACCGTGCTATATGTCGGAGCTACATAAATGTATAATAATAACATGGGCCTGTGAGGGACATCAGAGTGTAAGCTCCTCTGGTACAGAGACTGATCTGACTGTGGGGGAGGGGACATTAGAGTGTAAGCTCCTCTGGTACAGAGACTGATCTGACCGTGTGGGGGAGGGGACATTAGAGTGTAAGCTCCTCTGGTACAGAGACTGATCTGACTGTGGGGGAGGGGACATTAGAGTGTAAGCTCCTCTGGTGCAGAGACTGATGACGTGACTGTGGGGGAGGGGACATTAGAGTGTAAGCTCCTCTGGTGCAGAGACGGATGTGACCGTGGGGGAGGGGGACATTAGACTGTAAGCTCCTCTGGTACAGAGACTGACGTGACTGTGGGGGAGGGGACATTAGAGTGTAAGTTCCACTGGTACAGAGACTGATGGGACTGTGGGGGAGGGGACATCAGAGTGTAAGCTTCACTGGTACAGAGACTGATGTGACTGTGGGGGGAGGGGACATCAGAGTGTAAGCTCCTCTGGTACAGAGACTGATGGGACTGTGGGGGAGGGGACATCAGAGTGTAAGTTTCACTGGTACAGAGACTGATGTGACTGTGGGGGAGGGGACATTAGAGTGTAAGCTCCTCTGGTACAGAGACTGATGTGACTGTGGGGGAGGGGACATCAGAGTGTAAGCTCCTCTGGTACAGAGACTGATGGGACTGTGGGGGAGGGGACATTAGAGTGTAAGCTCCTCTGGTACAGAGACTGATATGATTCACCCACAGACACTATATATTTATCTGCCAATATCAGAACTTTCTGGACGAACTCACCTTTTTATCTTCGATCTCCAGCTCCAGGCCGGCTTTCTGCAAATTAATCTCAAATTCTCTCCGTCTCTCCTGCAGGATGAAAATCAATCTTAAAATTCATCGATCAATTAACTGATAAAGCTTCAGAAACCAAATCAATCATCAACAGGGAATCAAGGTGAAAACTCGTTACAATGTATCTAAAAGCGAAAACTTGTATTCTTTGAATCTTTAGATGGGTTGTGGGGAGGGAATGGATCTCCTGTCAGGTTTTTATTCTCTTTCTGTTTTTTGTAGTGACCATTGTGTCAGTACAGAAAATGATGGGAAAACCAACATGCTTCAGTTGTCACCAGAGCAGGAAGAGAGGGGACATTTCCCAATGGGGGACACTAATTCTGGAGATAACGGTCCTAAACTTTCGGCCCCATCGTTGGTGTAATTGGGACTAATTGTACCCCATCATTGGTGTTGGGGAGATAATGCCCATTGTTGGTATCAGTAGGGTCACTGGGCCCATCGTTGGTGTAATTGGGTCAAATTGTACCCCTTCATTGGTGTCGGGGGGATTATGCCTGTTGTTGGTATCAGTGGGGTCACTGGACCCCATCGTTGGTGTAATTGGGAGAATTTGTGCCCCATCATTGGTGTCACTGGGCCCATCGTTGGTGTAAT